AGGGGCATAGGGATGGTTCAACATATGTAAATCGATTAAAGTGATACACCACATAAACAAATTAAAAAATAAGAATCATATGATCATATCAATAGATGTAGAAAAAGCCTTCGACAAGATACAGCATCCATTTATGATCAAAACACTTAACAAAGTCAGTAGAGAAGGAAAGTACCTTAACATAATAAAAGCCATCTATGACAAACCCTCAGCCAACATTATACTTAATGGTGAAAAACTAAAAACCTTCTCTCTAAGATCAGGAACGAGGCAAGACTGTCCACTATCGCTGCTATTATTCAATATAACATTGGAGGTCTTAGCAAATGCAATCAGACAAGAGAAAGATATAAAAGGCATCCGAATAGGAAATGAAGAAGTCACACTGTCACTATTTACGGGTGACATGATTCTCTATATAGAAAATCCTAAAGACTCCGCTAGAACTCTAGAAACAATAAGCAAAGACAGTAAAGTTTCTGGATATAAAATCAGTGTTCAAAAATCCACAGCATTCCTATACTCTAATAATGAAGTGTAAGAAAAAGTGGAAAAAATAATTCCTTTTGCAATTGCAACAAAAATAATACAATACCTACGAATAAATTAAACGAAACATGTGAAGACCTATATAATAAAAACTGCAAGACCCTATTAAAAGAAATTGAAAAAGATACAAAGAAATGGAAAGATATTCCATGTTCTTGGACTGGAAGAATCAACATAGTTAAAATGACCATATTACCTAAATCATTATACAGATTTAATGCAATCCCCATCAAAATTCTCAACAGCATATTTTAAAGAAATAGAACAAAAACTCAACAGATTAGTAAGGAAGCACAAAAGACATCGAATCACCAAAGCCATCTTGAGAAAAAAGAATGAGGCTGGAGGCATCACTCTGCACGACTTCATATTATATTTAAAAGCGACAATATCAAAACGGCATGGATTAGTAGCAAAACAGACACATAAACCATTGGAACAGAAGTAAACCCATATTTATACGGGCAAATACTTTTCGACAAAAAAACCAAAAACATACAGTGGAGAAAAAATAGCCTCTTCAGTAAATGGTGCTGGGAAAACTGAAAAGCCACTTGCAAAAGAATGAAAGTAGACTGCTGTCTATCATCATACACCAAAATTAACTCAAAATGGATTAAGGACCTGAATATAAGACCTGAAACAATAAAATACATAGAAGAAAACACAGGAACTAAACTCAAAGACCTTGGACTTAAAGAGGATTTTATGAATCTGACCTCAAAGGCAAGGGAAGTAAAAGCTAAAAAAAAATGTATAGAGGAGAAAGGAAAGCCTCTTCAATAAATGTTGCTGAGAAAACTGGAAAGCCATCTGCAAAAGAATGAAACTAGACAGTTGTATATTACCATACACCAAAATTAAATCAAAATGGATTAAGGACCTGAATATAAGACCTGAAACAATAAATTGCATAGAAGAAAATATAGGAACTAAATTCATGGACCTTGGACTAAAGAGGATTTTATGAATTTGACCTCAAAGGCAAGGGAAGAAAAAGCAAAAATAAATGAATTGGACTTCATTAAACTAAAAACTTCTGCTCAGCAAAATAACAGTCAACAAGGTAAAGAGACAACCATCTGAATGGGAAAATATATTTTCAAGCAATGTCTCCAATAAGGGCCTAATACCCAAAATATTTAAAGAACTCCTACAACTCAATAACGACAAAAAAATAAATAAATAAATGATCCAATTAAAATTGGGCAGAGGATGACCTAAATGGACACTTCTCCCAAGAAGACATAGTCAACAAACACATGAAAAGATGCTCAACATCGCTAGATATTAGGGAAATGCAAATCAAAACCACAGTGAGATACCATCTAACATCTGTTAGAATAGCTTTTATCAACAGGACAAGTAATAACAAGTTTTGGAGAGGATGCAGAGAAAAAAGAGACCCTCATATACTGCTGGTGGGACTGCAAATTGTTATAGCCACTATAGAAAACAATATAGAGGTTCCTCAAAAAACTAAGAATGGATCTACCATATGATCTGGCAATCCCTCTACTGAGTATTTACCCCAAAGACTTGAAAACACATATCCAAAAAGATAGTTGCACACCAATGTTCATAGAAGTATTATTTACAGTGACCAAGACATGGAAGAAACCAAAGTGTCCTACGATGGATGATTGGCTAAAGAAGCTGTAGTACATATATACAGTGGAATATTATTCAGCCATAAGAAGAGATGAAATATCATCATTTGCGACAACATGGATGAACCTCTAGATAATCATGCTAAGTGAAATAAGCCAGACAGAAAAAGTTGAAAACCACATGATATCACTTATTTGTGGGATATAAACCTAAAAGCAACAAATAAACAGGACAAACAAACAGAGACTCATGGACATGGACTGTAGACTATTGGTTATCAGAGGGTAGGAGGTAGGAAAGGAGCAGGGAGGTAGACTGTAAAAGGGGTCAAATCTGTGGTGACAGTAAGAAATCTAACTATAGGAGGTGAACATACAGTGTAAATATATATATGCCTTACTATTAAAGTGTACAGCTGAAACTTATTGGATTAGGTAACCAATGTCACCATAAAAATAATAATAATAGTAATAATAATAATAATTAATTAATTTTGAGAGAACAAATGTAAACAAAAAATAATTAATAATGGCAAACTTCCCTAATCTGGTGAAGAATATAGAGAATAACCCCAGGAAGCTTATTGAGTCCCTAAAAAAAATGAACCCAAAGAGGCCCACGCCAAGACACATCATAATTAAAATGCCAAAGGTTAAAATACAAAGAGAGAATCTTAAAAGCAGCAAGAGAAAAGCAATTAGTTTTCTACAAGGGAGCACCCATAAGACTGGCAGCAGATTTCTCAAAAGAAACTATGCGGGACAGAAGAGCTTGGCACACAATATTCGACGTGATGAAAACCCAGGATCTATAACCAAGAATACTTTATCCAGCAAAGCTATCATTTAGAGTATCAAAATCAGGAATAAAGAATGGTAATAAGTACATTCCTAACAATAAGTATCTCAAATGGAAAAGAATTAAGTGCTCCAACTGAAAAACAGAGTGGATGGCTGGATAAGAAAACAAGACCTCTACAAATGCTGCCAACAAGAGACTCACTTCAGATTAAAAGACACACACAGACTAAAAGGAAGGGGAAAAAGATATTACCTTGATGGACCTAGAGGGTATTGCACTGAAAAAATAAGTTGGATAGACAAAGACAAATATGCATGATTTCATATACAAGGGGAATCTAAAGAACAAAATCAACAACAAAAATAAAAGCTGAAATAAACTCATAGATACAGAGGATATTTTGAGGGTTACCAGATGGGAGGGGTTTGGGGGAGACAGCAAAAAAAAGGGAAAGGGATTAAGAGGTACAAATTGATAGTTGCAGAACAGACATGGAGATATAGAGTGTAGCATGGGGAAGATGGTTAATAATGTTGTAATAAATATGTAAGGGGGAAGAGGGGTACTATATTTAGTGAGGTGATCACTTTGCAAATTATGTAGATCTCTGATCACTATGCTATACAATTGAAACTGGTATATTACTGTATGCCAATTATAATTGAAAAAAAACCTCTTTGAATTGTACAATACAAATACCAGCAACTAACTGTCTATTTCAATAAAGCTGGGAAAAAAACAACAAAAAAAACATGTATAAAGAATGGTAATAACTACATTCCTATCAACAAGTACCTCAAATGGAAAAGAATTAAGTGCTCCAACCAAAAGAGAGTCTGGCTGAATGGATAAGAAAATAAGACCCCTACATATGCTGCCTACAAGAGACTCACTTCAGATTAAAAGGAAGGGGATAAAAAAAGATATTGCCTTGATGGACCTAGAGGATACTACGCTGAATAAAATAAGTTAGACAGAGAAAGACAAATACTACATAATTTCACATACATATTGAATCTAAAGAACAAAATAAACAACAACAATGAAAACAAACTCAGACACCGAGAATATTTTGAGGGTTACTAGACAGGAAAGGGGTTGGTGGATGGCAAAAAAGGGCAAAGGGATTAAGAAGTACAAATGGAAAAATACAAAAGAGTCATGGGGATATAAAGTGTAGCATAAGGAAAATAGTCAACAATGTTGTAATAAATATGTAAGGGGGCAGAGGGGTACTACATTTAGTGGGGTGATTGCTTTGTGAAGTATACAGATCTCTAATCACTAAGCTGTACAACTGAAACTAATATTGTATACCAACTATAATTGAAAAAAATTCACTGAACTGTACAATGTAAATATGAGCAACTGTGTATTATATTTCAATAAAGCTGTAAAAAAAGAAGTTATTGTTCATATAGATACAATGGAATAGTACTCGGCCATAAAAAAAATAAAATCCTACCATTCGCAATGATATGAATGGACCTAGAGGTTAATATACTAAGCAAAATAAGTCAGAGAAAGATAAATACCATATGATTTCACTCAAATGAGAAATCTAAGGAACGAAAAGAACAAACTAATCAAAAACAGACTCACAAACATAGGAGACAATCTGGTGACGGCCAGAGGGGTTGAGGGACTAGGAGAAAGCAGTGAAGGGTTAAAGAAGTACAAATTAGTAGGTGATAGATGGTCATGGGGATGGGGAGCACAGCATAGGGAATGCAGTCAGCAGTAATGTAATGGCTATGTGTAGAGCCAGAGGGGTGATAGAGTAATTAGGGGGATCGTAAATGCCTAACCAATGTACTGTATACTTGAAATTACGTAAATGCCTAACCAATGTACTATATACTTGAAATTAATAATAAAATAAAATGCTAAAAAAATTGTTTGCTTTTCCCAAAACAGTAAGAAATAATTTAAACCTCCAGAATTTTTTCCCAATGTAAAAGTAAAGAAAAACATGTATACTTTAGTAAATGTCCCAAATAAGTATATAGAAATAATATACGTATTCAATAGAAAATTACCTTGATATTTCCCTGAGATAAACGGTCTGCATGGCTTTCTTCAAGTGTGGTTCAATATTTCTCCAGAGTTTGCGAGTATCACGTTCACTTGCTACTCCAAAGGGGAGGAAATTTCAATTATTTAGAGCTTACAAAATTTTTTTCAAAAGAAATATTAATAAATAAAATTACATAGTTACCTTCTCCTTTAACCACAGGTTCACAATATTTAGGAAAATTAAGTACTGCCTGCAAACAAAGGAAGAAAGTAGTTGTATACCACAATTAGGAATTATTTTTCAAGTAATATTTTTATTACAATTCAGGCAATTTTATTTCATTGCAATTGCTCAAGTAAAATGTTATTACAGCTTATTACTATAATAATAAAACAGTAAATATCAATAATGGTAGTAAAACAATATGTAAAATATTCCTTAATTGGCTAATCCTGCCTAATGTATTAGTCCCTAGATATAAAGTAATACAACAAAGCATATTTTGTAATTTTAGGTCATAATTAATTATATCACAAAGGACCAAAAACATACAATAAAATACCTCTAGCTCAACGAATTAACCTGTTATTTTCCAAGGTCTGATCATTCTCACAAATTAAACATCATCTAGTTCAGAACAACTCAAATTACTTCGACTGGCAGCACTATTTGAGATTGTTATAAATCCAAGTTCTTGGCACCATCCCAGCCAGGCATACTAGATCAGAATCTCTGAGGATGAGTCCCAGGAATCTATGTCTAAATAATCTCTCCAGGAGTTCTACATATTCTAAAGCCTGACCAGCACTAACCAATCGTATTAGTAGTTTTCCATGAATCAGCACTGCATTCTGAAAAGTTGTTTAACCAAATTGAGTACATGTAATTGTCCAAAAGTCTCTATATTTAAGTAAACCTATAAAAGCTAGTAATCCTTTCTAACAAGTTGAATTTTATGAAATATCTGTTCAAATGCAAAATACTTTTCACAACTCTGGCTATTAACATTCAAACATGCTCTCCAATATTATCCCCATTTCTCTTATATTAATCCTCAAATGATTGCAAATTCCCATTTCTCTGTATTAGGATTACTTAAAACAAAATCTAAATTCAAACCCACTGGTATTTTAAACTGTCCTCCCAACTACTCAGAAAAATGAAAATAAAAGGCTATTAACAAAATCACAAAAATAATTCCAAAGCCGAAACAGAAATAATTTTTAGATAATTTTTTGATATTATGAATTTTCACTACCACTATATATTACACCATATAACTAACTTCCAATTATTCCTTAACTTGCAAGTATTTAGCTTAATTAGTTGCATTAATAAAAAGGAGGGAGAGGAGAGGCATAACTGTATTAAGAAATGACCAAGTGCTCAGCAAATACTAGTACTCATAATAGTAACAGAAGCATAATTATCCAGAGCTAATTACAGCCATCTGCTATTTTATTCCTGACCAGTGCGTTTTTATTATGCCCATTGGTTAGCTGAGGGAACAGCAGCAAAATATAAGTTGTCTACAAGCACACAGAGATTCCACTGCCTGAATTTATGATCATGGATCTGTGAGGTGTTTTGGGAATTTACTTCAAAACAAAAAAGGATGCCATGTTTTCAAAGACTGATTTGGGTGAAACAGAATATAGATATACCTCGTTTTATTGCACTTTGCTTTACTGCACTTCACAGGTGTTGTGTTTTTCAAGACCTTCCACCAGCAAAGAGGTTATGACTTGCTTTATTGCAATACTTGCTTTACTATGGTGGTCTGAAACCCAACCTGTAATATCTCCAGAGTATGCTTGTATTTCCCTTACAATGCAAAGAAAACTTGCATTAATTTACAATCTAGGATAAATACTGAATAGGCTGCCACATGACAAGACAGGCAATTTGAGAAGCTTTCCCAACTCTTTCTCAGAGAATTTTCAAAAAGCCTTTATTGTTGTATTTGAAATTATTTGTTAGAAAATAATCTCATACATGTATGTCATAATAAGCAGAATTCTAAGACCCCAAGACTCCTGGCCTCTAATATGCACATACCTTCTCTCAGTTAGTCAATCAAACACTAAATTAGGCACTGCTGTGAAGGGATTTTGTAGATGCAATTAAAGTTCCAAAGATTATACTATTAATGGGTGAGTTAAAATAAGTAGATGATCAGATAAGTCTGACCTAATCACATGAACCTTTTAAAAGCTAAGTTCCCTCTGGCTCATCACAGAAGTCAGATATGTTGTGTATGAGAAGGATTCAACATGCCTTTACTGGCTTGTAGATGGAGGGGGCCGCATGGCAAAGAATGTGGGTGGTCTCTAGGAGGCCAGAGAAAGACTCCTGGCTGACAGCCAGCATGGGAACTTCAGACCTCGTTCTTACAAACAAGAGGCAATGGATTCTGTCAAAAATCTGAATGAATTTGGAAGCTTTTTCCCTATATGAGAATTCAGTTCAGCCAAAACTTTAATTTTAGCCTTGTCATATCCTGAGCAGAGAAGCAAGTAACAGTTGCCTGGATTTCTGACCTAGAGAACTGTGAGCTAATGTGTGTTGTTTTAAGCCACTAACTTTGTAGCAATTTGTTTTACATCAATACAAAACTAACACATACATTGAAGTATAAATATAAAAACATATTCCATAGCCAAATACAAATAATTTCTGAACTGTTTTGCCTTTTTTAGAATACCTAAATTTTACTTCAAAAACATCAGAGGATCAATATCAGAACTGAGAACATTTGCATTAACGACAATTTATAGGAATTTTCATCAATGAGGCCTTCCTATATGCCCAGTCTTACTATCCTAGGTAACCTATACGTATTAACTCATTTAATCCTCCAAATGAGTTATTATTATCCCCATTTTACAGTGAAGTTAAATTATGCTTCTATTCTGACTTCTACTTCTCTAATCGGACAGAAAAAACTCACCCCTATTAAAGGGCTGGTTAGATTCGGTCAGAACCACCCTGATAATTGCTCTGTCTTAAAATATGACATCCAGAGAAACCAGACTGATAGGAAAAAATTAATAAGTTGAAATTCAGATAAGGAACAAGATATTTACATTTCAAAGTACTTCCCCCACAGAATATATATTAATTACAAAGGAAAAAAATACCACCTTAATCAAATGATCGAAGTGAACATTATCATTAATGAGATGAAATCAAATCTTTTAACACCTGACAGGATGCAATGAGAACACAGCATCGTTTCTGTGATGGTCCTGTCAGATACATAACCTGAATCTAACCATGAAGAAACATTAGACAAACCGAACTTGAGGGAGATACTACAAAATGACTGGCCTGTAATCTTCAAACATGTCAAGGTTTATGAAAGTCAAAGACTGAGAAACTGTTTCAGATGAAAGGTCAAGAGACATGACAACTAACTGCAATAGGTGATTCTGAACTGAATTCTTTTGCACTGAAGTACATTACTGAAACAAATGACAAATCTTTTTTATTTTTAATTATGAGGTAACATTGGTTAATACAATTATATAATTTTCAGGTGGCAAATCTTGACTAGGGTCTGAGTATAAGACTGTAGCAATAAATCAATTTTCTGATTTTGATGTTTGTGCCTTGGTTATTATGTAGGAGGATGTCTTTGTAGAAAATGAACACTAAAGATTCAGGGGTAATGGGGAATCGGGTCACAAACTTACTCTCAAATGTTTTAGGGAAAAAGAGGGAAAGTTCTTTTTACTGTATTTGCAATGTTCCTATAAATTAAAATTACTTCCTAATTTCTTAAATTTTTAAAATATGCAATACTTTCATTATCTTGTAAATACTGTATCTAATGAAATAATGAGAGCAAACTATTAACATGTCAGTACCACTCAATGTGGTTATGATACAAAAAGAATTCTTAATTCTTTGCAGCCATGAATAAAAGAACTCTGTAAAGGCCTAACTAGTAAAGCGACCTTAAATACCACTTGCTGCTTACTCTATGTCTAAAGATTATGTGACTTGTCAGAATATGCCACAGCTATGTTTAACATGGATGAATATCTCAAAATGTTGAGCAAAGGTAGATAAAAAAAATACATGCTGTGTCTCCATTTACAAAAAATTTTAAAACAAGCAAAACTAATCTTTTTTTTTAGGCGAGGCAACCATTGGTTGACTTCACAGATTGCAAGGACCTTGTCAGCTTATAATCCCTTATTTTTTACTTTTTACGCCTATAGTACCTGGTCTTCCTAGGTAGTCTCCCATCCAAGTACTAACCAGGCCTAACCCTGCTTAGCTTCTGAGATCAAATGGGATTGGGCTTGTTCAGGGTGTCATGGCCGTAGATACAAAACTAATCTTTGATATCAGAAATAAGGACAGTGATTTCCATCAGGAAGGAAAAAAGAGGAAGAAATTGGGAGGAAACATGAAGTGGGCTCCTGAGATGCTGGTAATTTTCTGTTTGACCTAGATTTATTTACACACGTGTTTTTGTTTTGTGATAATTCACCAGATACATATTTATGGTTTCTGTGCTTTTCTATATGGTATACTTTAATCAAAAAGCTAAAAAAAAATAAAAGAAAAATAAACCTAACTAGATTACTTCTAATTAAAGATTCAACCTCTCCCTTAAGTATCTTTAACCACAGAATAGCTCTTCGTGAAAAAGACATCCTCACCCACAAATAATCAGTACAGAGTACAAAAGAGTAGTAAAGAATACCTACTCACCCAGCCATCTGTCAAATCAACTCTGGCAATCAATGGGATGATAGTTGTTCTGTCAGATCACCCCTCAAACTTCATTGACTTTAATATATGATGCAAACCTACAGCAGATATTAGCAGTATCCATACTTGGGCTCTGTTCATGTTCTTGCAGATAAGCAAGATCTCGATCTATTTCTGAGCCTGTGAACTTTTGCTCAGAAGAAGGAAATGAACTAAAATTACCTGATCTCCAACAGGTTATCAGGCATTTTACATGTGTTCTCTTTTTACTTCACAAAATTTCTTTTGAGGTAGATATTATATCTACTTAACAGGAGAGAAAACTCACTTAAAAAGATTAAGAAATTTGGCCCAAAATCACAGACCTATAAATGAAGAAGTTTCTGCATCTGTAAAATGAGGATTCATGATAGTACCTTCCTTTATAGGACTGTTGTAAAAATTAATTGACAATAATAGTAAAAGGTTTACAACAATGTCCAGCACACAGTAAGTACTCAATAAAGGCTGGCTATTATTTAAGAG